GTTAGTTCAAGTTTGAAGCTAGTTCTTGATTTCAGTTTTTTTTAGGGGTTTGGATTCCCCCCCCCCCCCGTACGTGGTGGGTTTAAAAAAAAAGATTAAAAGTCGGATAAGTGGATTTGAAGGAAAAGGAGTGTGTGTATGAGTGTCTTCTGATTTGAATATAAGGAAGATTGTTGGAAGTTTGAAGTTCGATACTTGGAAAGTTTTGTGCTGTGTGATTACTATATCCGTGCTTTGAGGCAAACTTTTTTTTTTAAGAAATGCAAAGTTCACTTGTAAATTTATGTGCGTGATTAAGTTGTGGAGATTTAAATGGAAGTGGAAAAAAATAGCATTCGGGATAAACGTATGCTAGCCATCACGGTATATGTATGTGGATATTATGAGTTTTTTCTTCTAAAATATGCTTTAAATATATTAAAGATATTCTCCGTTAATTATAAGATAAAATGCACTTTGATTGTACATGTAGAATTTATGAAGACTGAATTTAAAGAAGTATTAAAAGGATGCGATATTCTGAATCAATAATTTGCACAGTTTATATACTTTGTTTTTCATGTTTTATTACTTCATCATTATAACCATTTCTTTTATTATCTTTAAAATTTATTTACATTATGTGTATCTTTACTCTTCATCAGTCATGTAGACAATAGATGTATGTATTTTTTCGTGATGAATTCTGGTATATGATCATTAATCACATGATAGAAATTTTGTTATAGAATATTATGCATCACTAATTTAGACATCATTTTTTCAATAAACATTTAAAAATACATATACATTAGACCACAGACTCGCTTTTAAAGTAGAACCTAAAATGACAGGAGTTCAAGGATCAGAAAAATAGATTTATGGAATAATATGAGATTAAACAATATAACATTAATTGAACGTTGTGTATTTCTGGAGATTCTAGATGGCTGACCTATCGAAGCTGACATATAGGAATCTGTCACGCCATACATTTCTTATATTTGACATTCTGTTACATACACTGGAAACTTTATGTGTTCTGTAGGCCATATTTTATAAAGTATTTTCTATTTCTGAATTGAATTCGTTTTCAGATCGTACTGATAACGTATATGGTATTTCAGGAACATGAATTTATTTTTTATGTAATATGGCTTTATGATTATAATATTGAAAGTTGATATAAAATTCCGTTGAATAATTACATTATTATTGTATGTTCATGGTTATTTTTTTCTCATAACCGTTATCGAAAATTTCTTTTCTCTTTCTTTCCTTTTCCTCCTCCTTCCATTTTCTTTTTTTCTTTTTTTCATATTTTTCTTTTCATTTTTCATTTTCTTTTTTCTTTTTTATTCTTTTCTTTTCATTTTCCTTTTATTTTTATTTTATTTTCTTCCTCCTCCCCTTCCTCTTCTTCCTCTTCTCCCTCTCTTCCTCCTCCTCCTCCTCCTCCTCTTCCTCCTCTTTTAAATCCTCTTTCACTTCTCCCCTCCCCTCTCCTTTCTCCACTTTCTCATTCTCTTCTTCCCTTTCGTATTATGCCTCCCTCCACCTTAACCACCTTCCAAAATGACTGCACTTAAACACAGGTACATTTACTCATTCATTACTTCAAGGAAACGGAACGGGTCTCAGAGCATAGCCAGTGGTTATTACATGTGATAGAAACTCACTAATGATATGTGCCCGTGCATGTTATAAGAAAAAAAGTCAGTGAAATGGATTTTTTCCCCTAGTGTTGTGTGTGACATGACAGGTCCAGTTCGAGTCTCAGTGTGTGTGTTCATACGTGCGCGCGTAGGAGTCACTTCGTCAGGGAGCGTAAGTATAAATAGGTTAATGTCGGTGAACCAATCAGGGAGCGTAATTGTAAATAAGTTAGTATCGATTAGCCAATCAGAGAACGTAAATGTTAATAAGTTAATATCGATGAACCAATTAGGGAGTGTAAGTATAAACAGGGTGATATCGGTGAACCAATCAGGGAGCGAAATGTAAATAATTTGATAACATTGAACCAATCAGGGAGCGTAATTGTAAATAAATTAATATCGATGGATATCAAGGATACTGCAAAGCCTTTGATTTTTTTTCAACGGGTGGTAATATTATAATAACCATTGGTGAACGAGATATTAGTGAAGAATATGATGATATGGTTAAAGGAATTTGACTACGTGTTTAAACTTCCGTGTCCTAGAGGCTACATGTCCTGTTACACTCCCAGCCTACACAAATTTATAATAAATTAACACCAACAGCTGCCATCCTACAAGAAATCGACAATTCATATTAAGGAATTAACTTAGCAGGTCAGTTTTATTCTCAAAAAAAAGAAAAGAAAAAAGAAAAGAAAAAAACAAATGCTGAGAATTCTAGAAATCCACTCAAGTAAGAAATTTATGAAATGACATAAAATTTCACAACGTAATTTTCAAATCAATGGCCTACACTGAAGCTTTGCATTTTGACTTCTGAAAAAAAATGGGTTAGGAACATTTTTTTAGCGATCGGT